TTGTCAATTCTTCCACATGTACAGCACATACACACAGAGAATTGAAATAGCGTTACTCTCAGACCCTTGGTGCATACAGATAACACTAACAGTAGAACATAAATACAGATAGATACAGATTAAATATAAAATACAAATATACAAATAAGGTAAAATGTAAAAAAAATATATAAAGAAATATATAAAGCAGCACATGGCAGATAGAGTGCAAACCAGTGAAGTAAACAACAGTGCAGATATAATGATTTGTAGTGCAGTGCAAAAGAGCTTATTCATAATTAAACTGATTAAAGTGACAGTGTGTGTGTGTATTTGGGAGGGGGGAGTGGGAGAGTCCGTTAGAGGGTCAGAGTTCAGTGGGGCAAAAGAGGGGAGGGGGGGCAAGGTCGGTAGGGAGTTCAGCTTCCTGACAGCCTGATGGATGAAGCTGTATACTTTAGGTATTCACGTGAGATTTTACAAGATTTCTAATATGCAGTCTTTCTCATTTTAGTCTCTAATAGCTGTCACATCTAATTATGGCTCTTCCGGAGAAGAATGAAGTTACAGCAAACCTAGAAACACATCCCATGGTCAATGAAGAAGAGTTCAATGACTCTAAACGAGAGGAAGATGAGAAGCAGGAGGAGGAGGAGGATGACAGTGAAGATGACAGTGGAGATGGTGAAGCTCTTGACCTTGATATAAATGAAGAAGATGAGCCTGAGAAACCGAAGGGCAAGAACTGTATCCCTGGTATTGTGTATTTGGGACACATTCCTCCGAGGATGAGACCAAAACACTTGCGGACTATGCTGAGTGTGTACGGAGAGATCGGGAGGATCTTCCTACAACCTGAAGGTAAAACTACAGTCCTTTACAATTTTATATATATATATATATATATATGATTGAAATAAAGATTACATTTTTTAAATCAATTTCGTTGTTTTGTGGCTTTTAGTCGATGTCTATTAGCTCTGGGGTCATCTATATATGAGTGTACTTCTGAAAGTACTAAATGAAACCATTAAAGCAAACTAACATTTAACAGATTAAGTCTCTTATTCATACCAAGGCTACATTTATTTGTTCGAAATTACAGTAAACGGTAATTTTGTGAAATATTGAACTGTTTTCTATTTGAATATATTTTTAAATGTAATTTATTCCTGTGATGCAAAGCTGAATTTTCAGCATCATTACTAAAGTAAGTATGTCTAATAGTACACTGTGTGTACTGACCATATGTATGTGTATATTGCACATTGTCATCTGTTGAGGTCTGTATGTTTATATGTAAATTGTTTCTGCACTGTCTGGAGCACGCTCCCAAGAATTTCACTCACCAAGGCACATGTGCTGTGACAATAAAAAGTGACTTGACTTAAAGTCTTCAGTGTCACGTGATCCTTCAAATTTGCTGCTCAAGAAACGTTTCTTATTATCATATACAAATATACAAATAAGGTAAAATGTAAAAAAATATATAAAAATATATATATAAAGCAGCACACGGCACATGGCAGATAGAGTGCAAACCAGTGAAGTAAACAACAGTGCAGATATAATGATTTGTAGTGCAGTGCAAAAGAGCTTATTCATAATTAAACTGATTAAAGTGACAGTGTGTGTGTGTATTTGGGAGGGGGGAGTGGGTTAGGGGGTCAGAGTTCAGTGGGGCAAAAGAGGGGAGGGGGGGCAAGGTCGGTAGGGAGTTCAGCTTCCTGACAGCCTGATGGATGAAGCTGTATACTTTAGGTATTCACGTGAGATTTTACAAGATTTCTAATATGCAGTCTTTCTCATTTTAGTCTCTAATAGCTGTCACATCTAATTATGGCTCTTCCGGAGAAGAATGAAGTTACAGCAAACCTAGAAACACATCCCATGGTCAATGAAGAAGAGTTCAATGACTCTAAACGAGAGGAAGATGAGAAGCAGGAGGAGGAGGAGGATGACAGTGAAGATGACAGTGGAGATGGTGAAGCTCTTGACCTTGATATAAATGAAGAAGATGAGCCTGAGAAACCGAAGGGCAAGAACTGTATCCCTGGTATTGTGTATTTGGGACACATTCCTCCGAGGATGAGACCAAAACACTTGCGGACTATGCTGAGTGTGTACGGAGAGATCGGGAGGATCTTCCTACAACCTGAAGGTAAAACTACAGTCCTTTACAATTTTATATATATATATATATATATATGATTGAAATAAAGATTACATTTTTTAAATCAATTTCGTTGTTTTGTGGCTTTTAGTCGATGTCTATTAGCTCTGGGGTCATCTATATATGAGTGTACTTCTGAAAGTACTAAATGAAACCATTAAAGCAAACTAACATTTAACAGATTAAGTCTCTTATTCATACCAAGGCTACATTTATTTGTTCGAAATTACAGTAAACGGTAATTTTGTGAAATATTGAACTGTTTTCTATTTGAATATATTTTTAAATGTAATTTATTCCTGTGATGCAAAGCTGAATTTTCAGCATCATTACTAAAGTAAGTATGTCTAATAGTACACTGTGTGTACTGACCATATGTATGTGTATATTGCACATTGTCATCTGTTGAGGTCTGTATGTTTATATGTAAATTGTTTCTGCACTGTCTGGAGCACGCTCCCAAGAATTTCACTCACCAAGGCACATGTGCTGTGACAATAAAAAGTGACTTGACTTAAAGTCTTCAGTGTCACGTGATCCTTCAAATTTGCTGCTCAAGAAACGTTTCTTATTATCATCGATGTGGAAAACAGTTGTGCTGCTTAATGTTGTGGAAACCGTGATGCACTACCATTTTGAGGTACAAAAGTATGGGGTAAGTAAGCTTTTGTCCAGCAGGCATGCATTCAGTTGATCAAAAGTGACAGTAAAAGCATTTGTGTTTCAAAATATTAGTTTTAAATAAAAAACAATTCTCATCAAAGAATCCTGAAAAAAAGTATCAGAGTTTACGCATATTAGACTGATTTCTGAATCATGTGACACTGAAGACTGGAGTGATGATGCTGAAAATCCCTCCAAAATTATCCCTTGTGCATGTTTTCATGTTTGACCAACTTTCCATACAAATATTTGTTGTGACTCTCTTCTAGATCGTTGTGTGAAAAGAAAGAAAAAGAAAGCTGGAAGCAATTCATCCAGTTTTACGGAGGGCTGGGTGGAGTTCAGAGACAAGCGCATCGCTAAGAGAGTCTCAGCCAGTCTGCACAACACACCCATGGCCAACAAGAAGAGGAGCCGCTTCAGCAGCGACCTGTGGTCCATAAAGGTACATAATACAGATACACTACTACTGAAAAGTCGGGTCAGTAAATTATTTTTTGAAAGAATTTAACACTTTTATTCAGCAAGGATGAATTAAATTGATTAAAAGTTAATATAAGAATGATTTCTGAAGGATCATGTGACACTGAAGACTGGAGTAATGATGCTGAAAATTCAGCTTTGATCACAGGAATAAATTACATTTTAAATTGTAATAATATTTCACAATATTACTGGTTTTACTGTATTTTTCATCAAATAAATGCAGTCTCGGCGAGCATAGGAGATTTCTTTCAAAAACATTTAAAAATCTTACCAAACCCAAACTTTTGAGTTTTTTTTGGTACCTCCCTTATACAATGTAAAATTCATCATATACAGCTGTATAGTTACTTTTTCTCTCTTTCATCAAGTACCTGAACAGGTTCCAGTGGTGCCATCTCAGCGAACGATTGGCTTACGAGCAGACGGTGTATCATCAGCGTATGAGAACAGAAATCTCCCAGGCGAAGAAGGAGACCAACTTCTACCTGGCTGTATCATCAGCGTATGAGAACAGAAATCTCCAAGGAGACCAAGGAGACCAACTTCTACCTGGCTAGTGTGGAAAAGAGCCAGAAGCTGGAGAACCTAAGGAAGAAGAAGGAGAAGAAGGGAGAGGTCGTAGAGGAGAAGACGTGGGATTACAAACAGCGACCTACAGAAGAAGAGATCCACCTCAAATGGTTTAAGAACAAAGGCTTGTCCAAGAAGAACCTCCAGAAGGCACAAGAGAAGAGCAAAGCCATCCAGGACAAAGCTCAATCGAACGTTTCCCTCCTGGCCAAGATCTTCAGTAGTGGAAGGACTCAGGACTGATGTGCCGAGAACGAGTTTACATTCAAGTTTTGGTGAATCGACAATTTTTCAAACACATGTATTTGTGTACATGCTTTTCAACATACAATCTACTTGAGTTTTTCAGCACAAAACACATGTAGATTGTTCTGATTGACTGTTTCATACATTCAGAATAAAAACACTGCATAACTCACACAAAAATGCCCCATCATTGTAAAAATAGAGCTCTATCTTCCCATGAAAAGAGGCTTAACGTCTTCTGAAAGCATAATGCATTGTTCATTCATTAAATAGTTCTCTAATTCTACCCCATGCCTGTTTTGAAAATTTGCAAAAGTAATTCTTTAATTACTTTTAGTTATTTGAACATAGAAACTGTCATTGGGTGAGTTTTTGGGATTCAAATTAATTATTAATGTTATTATCATATTAATAAAATGGTCTTTATATACAATTTGTCCTATGTATTGAATCTCAACTTTTATTTTAGTTTATTAATACAATACCAATATAAACACTTAGTTCTTACTCAGCATTTTTCTCTTGTTTTCCAGCAAAAATATCAAAAAATTCTAGAACAAGATGTTTACTCAGTTTACTTGAGATTAAAATTGACTCAAGTCTTGTTTTCCGAAAAATGTATCATAATTACATGTAAAAACGAGAAAAAATGTTTTATTACCATTGCCAGTCATCATTTCTTGTTTTAAGCAAAAACTCAATTTTTATAAATTTTTCAGAAAACAGGACTAAATATCTGATGTCATTTTGCTTCTAAAGTAAATGTATCTTATGTATCTTAATTAAAAATACTTCGATATTTGTACTGAAAAAAATATGGAAAAAATACTGAAAAAAATACATTTACAACAATACATACACAAAGACTTCTGTGATATTCTTTGATTAGGAAAAACAACATGAATTTCATAGCTTTATCCAATAGTACAATCACTCTCCTGAAAAAAATGTACAAGACATCAGCAGGTTGTGTTATAAAATATCTTAAACCATAGCTCAGCAGAAATGGCGTATAAGGAGATTTCACAGCATTGCGTTGTTGCAAGTGGGTTTTGTTAAGGACAAAAACATCCGTTTGTCTGTTCTAAGTAGACATGGCATCACAAGACTGGGTATTTTAGAGGAACTGGCTTGTTCTTTTTCCCTTGTGCCGTCCCTGTTTTACAGAACTATTCATTCATTCTTTCTCATCCTAAGAAGACAGATTTCTCCAGGCCATCTTCTACTTTGGTGTACTCCAGGTTGGACTTGTAGTATCGGCTTTCATAGCGTGGGCTGTTCCTCACATATTTCAAATATTCCGGGGCTCCAGGACAAATGACATTGTCGGCTAACAGGACAGTGCCTTTTTTCAGTAGACCACAGTCCTACAATGTTATAAAATAAATATGGTTGTAATTTTTCATGTGTTAGAACCATTTCTTGAGGGGTTAATGTAAACAATACTGCGTGTGTGTATGTATTTGCCTTTGCCTTCCTACCTCAAGAAGTTTAGTATCTGGTACATAACGATCTTTCCAGTGGTCCAAAAACACAAAATCAAAGTATTTTATTCCAAATTGTTCCTTCATTTTGGGGATTAAATCACCAGAGGGTCCCTCCACTAGAGTAACCTTTGAAAAACAGAACAAAAAAAGCATTGTTCCCTTTAAAATACATATTTAGTCCTAAGCAACTCTATGTAGTTCTGTCTGTTTTTGTGACTTTGGAGCCCCCTAATTAAGTGTAAACCCCCACCCCAGGAACTCGATCACGAACGGACCAAGGGGGGCCCCACGTCAGCTAAGGATGGCCCTGATCAGAGTGACTTTGAAACTGATATTTAAAGGTAAAAAACGAACATACAGTTGTTTTTAAGATGTCACTTGTATCAAGCCTACAAGATAATCACTTAGTTTGGCATTTACAAAATGTTTAGCTTCATGCTTTCATACAGAACTGGATTTTTAATAAGCTATATGTTCAAAAAGTGTGGAAAATGTATATTGAAGTATATGTATACTGAACCAGAAGTAATATTAGCCATTAATTTATCATCTTATTAACTTTCTCTCAGACAATATTCGGTTTTTATGATTTTTTTTTAAATAAATGCAATTCAATGATAATTTGATGCAATTTGCTGAAACATGCAACAGAGTGAGGTCATGTGGCAACAATGTAGTATATTCTAATTTTACACTTTTTTGTGTAACAAAAATATTGTTTCATTTTGCATATTCATACTATTTAGAAAATAGTAGGCAGTAAGCAGTGCATGATTATTAGTGCATTGGTAATCAAGATTATTGGAGTATATTTTACAAGAACATAACATTTGAACCATTCTTCTTAAAAATTTCACATTTAATTCAATGTTACTTATAACTGTACAAAACAGGGGAAGTCGTGGCCTAATGGTTAGAGAGTCGGACTCGTAACCCAAAGGTTGCGGGTTCGAGTCTCGTACCGGCAGGGATTGTAGGTGGAGGGACAGTGCTCTCTCCCACCTTCAATACCACGACTGAGGTGCCCTTGAGCAAGGCACCGAACCCCCAACTGCTCCCTGGGTGCCGCAGCATAAATGGCTGCCCACTGCTGGGTGTGTGTTCACGGTGTGTGTGTGTGTGTGTGTGTGTGTTCACTGCTGAGTGTGTGCACTTTGGATGGGTTAAATGCAGAGCACTACTTCCTAGTATGGGTAACCATACTTGGCCACATGTCACATCTTACATAATTCTTACATAGTTTCTGAGTGAAAATTGTTTCAAAGGCTACACCATTTTTTTCTCAGTATAACTTATGTATACCAGCTCTTTTTCTCACCTTATCCTGAAGGCCGGCGTAGGCGATGATCTGATGAGCAACTTCAGCAAAGGCTGGGTTGAATTCAACTGTAATGAGTTTGGAGCCAGGGGACAGCAGTCGAGCGATCCGAACGGTGGAGTAGCCGCAGTACGTGCCGAGCTCCAGAGCTGTGCTGGGGTTTACCTCCGTCAACACTGAATCCAGTATGAGCCCTTCAGAGAGAGACACGGTGCTCAACCAGAGGATAACTGAGGAAACGAATCAATGAGGTGGCTAATGAGATCGTCGAAATATCATTAGAGCCTCTCTGCCCCATTAGCACCATCATTTATTCATCAGTGCCTGTTGTCACACATGAAATTGAGCTGCTAATAGGGATAAGATCACCAGTTCATTGTTTGGTGTCATATAGTGGCACTAAAAATATTTGAATACTTAACTCACTTAATATCGCTGCATTAGATAACAAAACATCTCATTAAAAAGCATCAGTTTATGCTCAAGCTTTTCTCAGAACATCATTCAAAAGATTCTCTTACTCAGTATATTTTTGCCTTGTTTTCCACTGCAAATGTCTAAACATTCATAAATCAAGATACATTTACTTGAGAAGCAAAATTATTCACAAGAAGATATACAAAATTACAAGATATAGTCTTGTTTTTTAAAATTAAGTACGTTTGGGCTTAAACCATATATGCCAATGCACAATGCATTATTGTTTTTTAATGTTTTACAAGAAAATACTATTTCAGTCTTTGTACTTCAAAATATCACGTTTAATTCAATGTGTCTCTTGCCGTTTCTTTATGGTTTCAATTTCTGAGTAAAAATTGCTTCTATGCCTATTTTTTTGTTCAGTGTGGAATAAGAAACATATTCTTGTTTTCCTTTTGAATTAAGTTTATTTTTCTTAACCAATTGCCAGATATTTTTCTTGTCCCGTTTTATCACCGTTAAATAAAAATAAACCATTAAAAAATCATTATTGAGATAAAATCAACTTTAACTGAAATAAAAAATATAAAAAACGTGAAACTTATTTTGTTTATAGATTGCCAAGGCAACATTTCTCATTTTCATTTAGTTTAACTTGATGTACTAAAATAACTAAAAATAAAATAAAATATAGTTCTATATAGTAAAGTAATCTTGCCTCTCAAGCAAATGTAATGTTTGTACTGGGGGGAAAAAATACAAAGTAAGAAAATTATTTTTTGCAGTGTTTTTGCTCAATGTCTTTAAATCATCCGGTGATTTTTAGTGACTATATTAAGTCCGTTCCCCTAAAATGTAAATTACGGACATGTTCCTCTAATGTCTGTCAACTATCAACAATCAAAATTGGATAACTTTGTATATTGTATAAAACAGATCATTCGGGGAACACTTTAGAAATAAATCCATCCTCAGTCCCATAATGCATCAGTGCACCTAATTGCTGCTGTTGATTGTCTGGGATGCATTGGCTGCACATTGTGCACACATGTACATGAAACTAGTGTGCATGTGTGCAGCCATGCAGAGAGCATATTGACCCCGTAGACAGGAGACTGCCGTCACGTCTCATTCAGAACAGCCAGCTATGAGCAGCCCTAAAGCCATTTACTCAAGAGCAGAGAAGAGAGATACAGAGATAATAGAAGAAACAAAAATATCAAGCAAATGGTGAGAAAAGTAGTAAGGGAGCAGAGAAGGAGGCGAGGCAATAGAGGTTGCTACCTTTATCATCACCCACGTTCATGGCCCATTCTTTGTGGCGGCAGTAATAGTCGATGGCTGAGATGACGCTCTGAGGGTCTCCTTTCGTAGCATTCTTCTGAACGGCTTTCAGCATGCGCTGCATTCACAGAAATCAGCCATGATCAACAGTGTTCTTTAGCAAAGCAAAGCCAGAGAACAATAGTTGAAAAATAAAGACATAACAGGAGGACATTAATTACTCTTGCTTTCAAAAGCAATTTTATAGGGTTTCTGCTATTGAAAAATCCTGTTTAATCATAAAAATTGTACTTTGGCTGTACCGTGGTACAGATGTTAGAAGGTAATGCTGTGGTATTTTAATATATTCAATGATAATGAATGATTACCTTATGCATGTAGCCTGGTATTTATATACATCGAGGTTCTTCAAATAATTTATTTTGGACAATGATTTAAAAAAAAAAAAGTAATCATCATAAAGAATTTATTTTTGCATTATGATACTTTTTTTCAGATGACTAATACAAATGTTCTTTATTATGATGAAAATAATGTAACAATACCAAAAAAAATGATTGGACCTAGGTTTCATTTTCTTAATGGAAAATATATTTTGTGTAATAAATAAATCACACACACACACACATACTGTATATATGTATGTATATTTGTTCAGTGTGGAATAAGAAACATATTCTTGTTTTCCTTTTGAATTAAGTTTATTTTTCTTAACCAATTGCCAGATATTTTTCTTGTCCCGTTTTATCACCGTTAAATAAAAATAAACCATTAAAAAATCATTATTGAGATAAAATCAACTTTAACTGAAATAAAAAATATAAAAAACGTGAAACTTATTTTGTTTATAGATTGCCAAGGCAACATTTCTCATTTTCATTTAGTTTAACTTGATGTACTAAAATAACTAAAAATAAAATAAAATATAGTTCTATATAGTAAAGTAATCTTGCCTCTCAAGCAAATGTAATGTTTGTACTGGGGGGAAAAAATACAAAGTAAGAAAATTATTTTTTGCAGTGTTTTTGCTCAATGTCTTTAAATCATCCGGTGATTTTTAGTGACTATATTAAGTCCGTTCCCCTAAAATGTAAATTACGGACATGTTCCTCTAATGTCTGTCAACTATCAACAATCAAAATTGGATAACTTTGTATATTGTATAAAACAGATCATTCGGGGAACACTTTAGAAATAAATCCATCCTCAGTCCCATAATGCATCAGTGCACCTAATTGCTGCTGTTGATTGTCTGGGATGCATTGGCTGCACATTGTGCACACATGTACATGAAACTAGTGTGCATGTGTGCAGCCATGCAGAGAGCATATTGACCCCGTAGACAGGAGACTGCCGTCACGTCTCATTCAGAACAGCCAGCTATGAGCAGCCCTAAAGCCATTTACTCAAGAGCAGAGAAGAGAGATACAGAGATAATAGAAGAAACAAAAATATCAAGCAAATGGTGAGAAAAGTAGTAAGGGAGCAGAGAAGGAGGCGAGGCAATAGAGGTTGCTACCTTTATCATCACCCACGTTCATGGCCCATTCTTTGTGGCGGCAGTAATAGTCGATGGCTGAGATGACGCTCTGAGGGTCTCCTTTCGTAGCATTCTTCTGAACGGCTTTCAGCATGCGCTGCATTCACAGAAATCAGACAGTGTTCTCAGTGTTCTTTAGCAAAGCAAAGCCAGAGAACAATAGTTGAAAAATAAAGACATAACAGGATTACTCTTGAATTACTCTTGCTTTCCAAAGCCATTCTATAGGGTTTCTGCTATTGAAAAATCCTGTTTAATCATAAAAATTGTACTTTGGCTGTACCGTGGTACAGATGTTAGAAGGTAATGCTGTGGTATTTTAATATATTCAATGATAATGAATGATTACCTTATGCATGTAGCCTGGTATTTATATACATCGAGGTTCTTCAAATAATTTATTTTGGACAATGATTTAAAAAAAAAAAAGTAATCATCATAAAGAATTTATTTTTGCATTATGATACTTTTTTTCAGATGACTAATACAAATGTTCTTTATTATGATGAAAATAATGTAACAATACCAAAAAAAATGATTGGACCTAGGTTTCATTTTCTTAATGGAAAATATATTTTGTGTAATAAATAAATCACACACACACACACATACTGTATATATGTATGTATATATATATATATATATATATATATATGTGTGTGTGTGTGTGTGTGTGTGTGTGTGTGTGTGTGTGTGTGTGTGTGTGTGTGTGTGTAATAATGTCACAGCACAAATGAATGAACGAATAAATAATTAATGGACTGAAAAAAGAAAATACTGTAAAAACTCCTTTTATGTTTTCACTATTTCTTATATTCCTCCCTGTTCTAGCTTACTATTCTACAGCGTCACTTTGTATAATAAATGTAAATTATTAAATGTAAATGTAAAAATAGGTTTAATTTTCTTAATGAAAAAATGTAATAATAAATATGATGTTTAATAAAAAATACATTGAGATGGAATGGAGTGGAAATTGGAGTGGAAATGTGTCTTTGGCTTCACTATACACCACAAACAATGACATTAACACAACAACATAAAAACAACAAAAACAAATATGCATAAGAGCAATGTAAAAGATCTAAAGCTCATCTATGTTATACTTCAACATACACACTCACACACATACACATGTGTACAATTAATGTGCATACTTATCTACACCTACTCATATTCATGTCTCACCATTTAATATTCTAATGGCAGTTAGCACAAATGACATCTGGTGCACTGTTTTACTTGCCCAAGGTTGTCTAAATCATTTCCTTGAAGGTAACAACTGAAATTGAGAGTGTGAGGGATGAGATGAATACTCTATAATAACCAAAGCTTTAGATGTATAAATATCATTCAGGATCAGTCAGATCATATAACCATGGCATGTTCTTTACAGGCTGTTAGATTCACCAAAATACAGTATTTTCATGGTACATGACCAAAAAACATAGTATTTTTGTCAGCAGTGACTCTCTGTCTTCGTTGAACATCAACATCTCATCTCTGCATATATGTGAGCGATGATTGACAGTGAGGGTCACCTGAGGTCGCGATGATCCCGTCATGATGTTAAGGACCCGCTCAAGGATGACATCGTGCCAGAGGAGTGCCAGCCAGCCGCTGCTCTGCACAGCTGTAGGGATGAGCCAGTGATAGAGGACGTACAGGACAGCTGCTGAAACCACCGGCACTGCCAACAAACTCCACAGCATCCTGTGAAAGACAGAGAGAGACGTTCACAAAGAGAATAAATGATTAAGGTCAGCCAAAAAAAAAGAAAAAGAGAGAGACATTAACAGCATCGCAATTCACAAAAGATGAGACTTCAAAGCAGTGTCAGAAAGAATTACACAACAAATATGCCATCAGTGTAAATCAGGGGAAAAAACAGGTGAAGGTCAAAGGGTCAATCTCACAAAGCTGTTAAAAACATGTTTTTGTTTTTCTAATTGCACTTGAAAGTAAGAAATAATATAATGCTGAAAATGAAGTACATCTTAGCATAAATATTTTATTTTAATTTGTTTATCTATCAGTATTTCCATGACAATTAAGCATTTTTTAAATGTTTGTATGTATGTGTTTATTTTCAGTTACATTTTCAATATTGGATTGGGGTTATTATAGTAAAATAGTAAAACTAAATCCATTAAAAACATTTTTGTTGCTTAAGATATCATAAACATTAAATAAAATAAAATGAATATAAAAAAACTTTAATTTCAGCTAGCTGCCTAAGCAGCATTTCTCATCTTAATTTACTTTAACTTGATGACCTAAAATAACAAAAAAAATAATTAAAATTAAAATTAAAGTTGAATATATAAAAATAAAAACTGATTCAAAATATTAATAAAACTATAATAGTTTATGAATGATACTAAAATAACTTCATATTCATAAGTGCTTCATATTTGCGTTGTCATTACTCTCATTAATTACTCTAATTAGATTGGTATTAACTTAAAGCAGCTTTGAGAATCAACCTGTCGGAACACAATGATTTTTTTAAAGGCAGTACAACAAATACTACCATGATGTATAAATATTTTACACTCTAAATATTTTTACAGTAATTATTTAATTATTACAGTAATTTATTTAATTATTAATTTTTGCATTATGGTTAGAATGAGATTTTTTTCACATGACTGTAATTACAAAAGCCCTTGATTGTTGTAGAAATAATGTCACAATAGTAAAAAATACATTTTAATATTTTAAAAATATTTTATTTTTATTTTTATATATTAAGTTTTTATTGATTTTGGAGATAAATACTATAAAATATAATATCAAAAAGTATATAATTTGATATATGATATATACTTATAGAATTTTTCTATATTTATTTTTATTGATTTTGGAAAGAAATACAACAGGCTTTGTGAGACTTACTTCAAAACTCGCTGTCATGTCATTGTTGACCTTACTACAGCTTAAAGCAACACAACCTTTAGACCTAAATTATTGATTATCTTATGTGTATGACATATACAGCCACACCTGTGTAAATACCCACAGCTCTAGCAGTCAGATTATGATGCAAGATCACATGACAAGCATGTCTAACCATATTTGCAAGGTCATTTAAGATGTTACAAATAATGAGTAACATTCAGATTGGCAACATAAAAAAAACTGACACATACATGATGACACCATAGACTGTATAAAAACATGGACGTAGTGTCCGTGACGTCACCCGTAGGTTTCTGAAGAGCGTTTTTGAAGCTCAAAGTGGGTGGAGCTGGCCGTAGCCATCTTGGCAGCGCGTCACTCCCGGATAATCGAAAATGGGCAAAGATGGAGAATCAAGTTACGCCCCCTTCCAGTTACGCCCCTCTCTTGCAGTCCGCAGACAGACGCTATTGCAAAGAGGCGGGAGCTGGTTGCTGAAACCACGCCCACCAAGCTCGACGGTGGTGTCAGCAGCGGCAATCCACCTGTCACTCGGAGCTGGTTGCTGAAACCACGCCCACCAAGCTCGACGGTGGTGACAGCAGAGGCAATCCACCTGTCACTCAAGTGGCCACGCCCTTAATTATGCAGAACTTTAAGGCTTAATATAATTTAAACAGATGAGCTGTAAAAAAAATTCACCCCCCTCACAGTTGTCATGAAGGGCAAAATTAGCAATATAGACCAAAACCACTTTTTGTACCAGCTGTAAACACATTATTTTCTGCTGTAAAGTTGGGCATTTTAACATGGGGAGTCTATGGGACTGACTCCCTTTTGGAGCCAGCTTGGTTTCACGAGAGAGACTGGAAGTTTGCCGCTTGGATGACACATGAAATACATAGAAAAGAAAAGAGAAAATGAAGGACAGGGTTAAAAAACTTTGACTTTCAGTGGTGTGGAATGCTAAACTCTCCATCCCCCTCTCCTGTTTCAATCCAGTGGTCCCAGAAAACAGTGAAAGCTCCTTTTTCTGTGTTGTGCAAGATTTGGCCTCACTACAGCTTCATCTCCACAGCTGATTTACCACTCACATGAACAGAGTAAACCTTATAATGGCTTGCAAAATGATGATTCAGAAGTTTTTTTTAATGTGTTTTAACAGACAACTTTTTATGGATTAATATTTACGGTTTACCCTTACCATAGTTTTCACACTTTACCTACTCTAGTATCACGTCATCTTGCAACTTTTCTAGAATTTCATGCTCACCAAGGCTGCATTTCTTTTATTAAAAATATAGTAAAATAAGTGGAATGTCATTACAATTTAAAATAACAGTTTGTTAATTGAATATATTTTAAAATGTAATTTATTCCTGTGATTTTCAGCATCATTACTCCAGTCTTCAGTGTCACATGATCCTTCAGAAATCATTTTAATATGCTGATTTGCTGCTCAAGAAACATTTCTTATTAGCAGTGTTGAAAACAGTTGTGCTGCTTAATATCTTTGTGGGAACTGTGAAACTGTGTACTTTTTTTTTTCGAGATTCTTTGATGAATTGAATGCATCCTTGCTGAATAAAAAATACTATGGTTTAAATTCAAACCAAGAACCCTATACAACCAAAGATTCACCTCAAAATGAAAATTCTGTAATTTACTCAGCCTCATGTCGTTCCAAACCTGCATATGAATTTACTGTATTTCTTCTGCAAAACACAAAAGAAGGTGGTCCAAAAAGCTTTGGACTCACATGATTTTCAGTGTTCAGGAAAAACAAAGCAAAACACATTTTTTGACGTTTTTAAAAATACCTTTTGTGTTCAACAGAAGAAAGAAATTCATACAGGTTTGGAATGACATGAGGGTGAACGAATGCTGACAGAATATTCATTTTTGGACAATCTATCCCTTTAAAAAGAAGGTTCTTTAAAGAACCTTTCTTTTCAAGTGCACAGAAAAGTGTGTGCAATATACCGCCACATGCAGGAGTTAGTACAGTGCTGCCAAAATGACACTGATCCTAATACATTCTAGTAAAGCTCAGAATAAGCCAAACACAATGGGCTGCTCATAAAGAACTCCAGTCACGATCCACTGGAGTAACATAGTGAGATGCAGCAGTGACAGTAGGAGCCTGTGTGCTGTCAGAGCGTGCTTTAATTAAAGATAGTATCGCCGTTCAGACCTGCAGCTTAAAATAAAACCTCTAAAAGAACCAGACAGACTGAAAGACAGAAGTGTATCTCTTAAGCAGCCAGTCTTAGAGCTTCTGTCAGCTCCTCCACACGTGCTGATATCGACCGTGTGGCCTGCCAGAGACCTCAGGACTTTCAGCAAGACTGAGTTCTGATTACTAGGCAGGCCACATGAATATTTAAGTCTCCTGCTTAATTATAGATTGCAGCTAGACTTTAGTAAACTGAAGTGTGCTGATAACACGAAAGCAACGAATTAACACGTTGCACATGCTGTGTGCCGGATGTGCAGATTTCAATCACCATCTTGATTATGAATAAATATTGAAGAGTGAACAATATTGGTTGATGTGAATGCAGGGCTGGATCGTGCATAAAGTTACATAAACACAACATGTTATGGCAAGAAAGGATTCTCACATAATACATAACACATATGCATGCATTTCCTTGAACTTCATAAGCCAAACAAAGAACACAATTTGTTGCAATATTATTCCAAACAACATTTCCATGATCTTACTTCCTTTTGTAGCTGTCTTCACAAACACACACGCAGAGACGAGCTTCCCTTTCTCTTTTACTCCGATGTCTTTATGCCTTTCTCTGACAAAGTCTTTCTCGCTGGCCTCTCTCTCTCTCTCTCTCTCTACCTCTATCTCTCTCCCCTCCCTCTTCTGTTTGCTCTTTCTAACCTGTTCTGCTGGGCTGCCTTGATATGTGTTGAAAGTGATGTACAACCATGGGTCACGCTAGAAAGAGAGAGAGCGAGAGAGTTGCAAGCACACATATGTGCGTAACATACAGGCTTCCACTCATAAATACTCATACGCACTTACACACGACAGGAGAAGAAGCTGAACCTCGGCCAACTGGGCTGAGTTTTTAATCCTCCTTTAGCCAATCATACTCTAATCTTCTTGCACTTTCTTACACCCCCTTCCTGCCTCACTCTCTTTCACTTTCCCCATCTCTCCTCCTTCTACCCTTCCTTTGCACACACTGACACATGGATAATGATGGCAAAAGAGGGGTCTCAGCATCACCATTTTCCAGCATATAGAGGCAGTATAAAGCATGGCACGTCTTCTGCAAAAAACACACTCAATGCAATACTAAATATATACACATTTTCTGAATGCATATAATGCATTATGAAGATATACAAAAAATGTATTAATATTGACTGCTATTGGATATTTAATGGTGCATTTCCCTAAAATTTATCTAAATTACCTTCACAATAATCGATCATTAACTTAAATTTAATAATTATTAATAATATTATTTAATAACATATTAATAACAGTATTAAATGTAATCTTTAGCAAATGTGTGTGTATATATATATATATATATATACACACACACACACACACACACACATACTAACTAGGCCTATTTATTTGCTTTATATTTTTAATTATTTAGACAAAAATATTACAAAATTAAATGGTATTTTTCTAAATAGGTAAAAAGTCTAAAACTAAAATAATATAAATTAATTAATATCAACAATTATCAGCTGATATTGGATAATTTTAAATTTATTAATATTGACTGATATTGGATATTTAATGGTGCATGGCCTTTTACTATTTTTTTACTGTAAATTACTGTAAATTCAAATTACTGTAGCCTACCATCATCTAACATTCACTTAAATTTAAATTTAATAACACGATTAAATGTAATCTTAAGCAAATCTCAAAATGAAAATGAACAAAATTATATATTATATACATATATATAATAATTTATTTATTTATTTATAATTTATTGATATTGGTTATATTCATTTTTTTTGCTTTATATTTAAATGATCTAAATAAGTAAAGTGTTAATATAAACATATAATAAGTAAGAAGTGTTACAATTATAAACCAGAATCAGTCTAAATGTATTGATATTGACTGATATTGTACATTTAATTGTGCATCCATCTTAAAACAGCTTGAAATTCACATGTAAAACCATTTTGTTTAATGTGAAACATTGTTCTAAAACCACATAAAAATCACACGTAAAATACAAATGAGAAATTCAAGTTAATTTTCTATATGGCTGGTACAACCACAGATTCATACAAATACATTGCATGAGCTCTACATGAGGCTTATGAGAAAACAGAGAGACAGAGAAGGAGAAAGGTGGAGAGAGGAGAGAGGTTACAGATACCAAATGTATTCTCCTTAGTACATGTCATTCCCAATCTAAATCATCAACACACACACACACACACACACACACAGACATGATGCTTCCAGTCGATGCATCCACAGACACAGTGAGCACCAGCGCTGCAGTGTTGTGGTTCTGTGAACCTCTATTGCTTCATAATAGTGTCGCTCTCAACATGTTAAGCACTTAAAATGTGAATGTACTAATGAATGCAGCACATTACAGCATGCGTCAATGGGTTTGCCTTTTAGGTTTACATCAGCCACTTAACTCCTCTGCATTATTGTTCACCAGCATAAATAGGACCTTAATAACATCCTTATTTCTAATTAAAACACAATCATATGCGCCATCATCAAGTAGGCTAATAATAAGCATGGCACGTTGAAAGTCACCTGGCCTGGCTGAACAGTGGCTACTAGTGGCAAAGAGGCATTTTCAGAAGCTTCAGAAGATTACTCTCTTAATCACGACAAGGTCGAACATACATGGTGCTGGTTTTTTCTTTCTTTTTTTTTTTTTTCAAATGTGTGGATACTTGTAACAAAAGGTGTAACCTTACAGTATATGGAACTGAAATGCTCATTTCGGTTGCATTGTATGCAAACTTGCATTTTTCATTTTCGGCACCAACATGCAATGCATTTAATTTTAAGGTCAACTCATGTATGCAAAAAATACTAACCTCTGGATAATTCCCAGCATTCAGTTTCTTCCCTGGTGAAGTAAAATTTTGGGAACTATTAAAGGAACAAATTAAATATTCATTTGCACCCAAGGCACATTGACGCAACCCCCATACAGTGGGTTTCCAGGACTAAAGTACATGCTAGGGGCTCTGATGCATGCCAGAGCTGTGACTCACTGGGGCTCCACTGCTCAGCATCACACACACACACACACACACACACACTCACTCTCACACACACACACACACACACACTCACACACACACGC